TTGTCCCTACCCTCATTGGCAAGCAGAACTGCAAGAAGTCTGCCAACATTAACAACACCATACAGTACGTTGCACTGGCAAGCTTTATGGACTTTCGCCATCATGAAAACAGTTCAGTTACCAGAACTATGTCATCATAAAAGCTGTCATAAACATGATCTTACAATTATGAAATGGTCATGTTTCAGTTTACAGCATGTGTAGTATAGAGCAAACAAACCTTTACAAAAGCTAGACTCTTGTAAGATGATGACTTGGTCTGTGCTGTAGTCTGATAGTGCTCTCAACCATTTAGGACTTTCCCAGTACAAATGAGAAAATAAGGATTACATCCAAGCCTTAGCTCCACTAAAAAAGGCTCATTAGACAGCACAATAACAGAAAGTCAGCAATACATAACATATTCGTTAACACAAATCAAGCCTTCAGCAAGGAACATAATCAATCTGTTTAAACCTGCAGTGTTGTATCAACTGTAGAGGTGGTGTGTTTGTAGGCCATATTATCAAATCATTACTCATGACCTAATAAGATATCACACTTATTATGTACTTACAGGCAAAATAATGCAGGCGGTGGGTGTACAATGAATAAGGACCAGTAGGAGTTTGTTAAAAAACACAACAGTTATTTCATCTCACTGAGTTACATAACAACCACTAAGATAACACAACAGTCTTGCAATGCAATTATGGAGACTCAAGTTTATATTTGGAAAGAATATTTGTTTTTGTTAGGTTTTGCCTTTCATTAACCACATTTTTTTATTAGAGTCAGTGAGAATATTTCCATTTATTTCAATTTTCACTGAAGCCTCTTTATTGTTACTTACTAGATAAGTGAATACTAATGAGTACCACTTGAGACAAAACATTCTAGACATTTACGTTTATATCAGTAACTACTGCCGCTTGTTCTCCCACCTTCCTGTCTTCCATGGTTCTTCCTCCTTAAATTTTGTTGAAGGTTTTATTTAAAGTAAATTACTACTGAGGGTGACAGGGATGTAAAGAACACAGATGTTCAACCAGCTGTTACTGACATAATGGAAATATTTGTTCCCTGCGTGGGTGTGTCTGTATACTCGCATGTGAATATGTGTATGTGTGCATCACCAACATAAAACACATAACATTAATGGATTATACTCTATGTGGGAAACAATTCCACTACAGTAGATGTCTATCTGACAATGCCGTTACCAAGTTTAAGGAAATAATTCAATTTTTATCTACTTCAGTGCTGTTTGCCAACACAGTGGAAGGAGGCCACCTTAACCTTATTCCCACACAAGTTGATAATCTTGTTGATAGTACTGCAGCCTCCCTGCGTAATACACTTGATACCGTTGCCCCTCTGAAAAAGAAGGCAGTGAAATAGAGGAGGTTAGCCCCATGGTACAGCTCGCAGCTCTGCACCTTAAATCAGGCATCACAAAAAATGGAAAGGAGGTGGCGCTCCACTAAGTCAGAAGAGTTTTTCATAGCCTGGAAAGAAAGTTTAATAACATATAAGAAAGCCCTTCGTAGTGCCAGAACCGCATTTTATTCATCACTGATTGAGGAAAATAAGAACAACCCCAGGTTTTTTTTCAGCACTGTAGCCAGGCTGACAAAGAGCCACAGTGCTGTTGAGCTTAACATTCCCTTAGATCTCAGCAGCAATGACTTCATTAGCTTCTTTACAAATAAAATCACAAGTATTAGAGAAAAAATTGGTCGGACCATTCCCACAGCTCTCGCGGATGTGCCATCTACTACAATGGCTTTAGAAAGTCACCAATGATCTTCTCCTAGCCTCAGACAAAGGACTTGTCTCCATACTTGTCCTCTCAGTGCTGCTTTTAAAACCATTGATCACAGCATCTTACTGCAGAGACTTGAACATTTTATTGGGATTAAAGGAACTGCACTAAGTTGGTTCAAATCTTATTTATCAGAAAG